GTACCTAGCACATACAGGACAACTTGCTACATAGTCTGCAATCCAAGCTGTCATGTTTGGCCACCAGTAATGTCGTTGAGCTGCCTTGATGGTAGCATCTCTTCCTACGTGTCCAGCAGTGATACCATCATGGCATTGGGTCATCACCATGAATCGCAGATGCTCTACAGAGAGAGACTGTCCATCTACCTCTTTGGCACTCCTTGAGTGTCGGTTGTTGGTCCTCCCTGGCATGATCACCTTGGGGATAACCAACCTTCCTCCACTGTACCATAGGTCATCCTTGAGTTCGAAAGGCTTCTTCCTATGTATCTCCTGTAGCTCTTGGTCTAAAGGCTGGAAGATCTTGACCAGGTCTTTGAGACCTTTTGATGCTATGGACTCCATCGAGATCATGGGGGCCACTAGGAGCGAGTCATGGTCTGCTGTCTCCTTGAACACTCGAGGAGGCAGTAGTTGCCTCACATTGTGATCCTGCTCTTCACCGGCTGGTTGCATGTCTGTCCTTCTGGTGAGAGCATCGGGTTCACCACCTTTGTCTCCTGGTCGATACTGCAATATGAAGTCGAAGTCTGCTAGTAGTATTGCCCATCGAGCTTGTCGACCTGTGATGCGTCTCTGTGACTTGAAGTACTTGAGGGCTTCATGGTCAGTGAGGATGACCAGTTGGTTCGGTAGTCCAGCTAGCATGTGTCGCCACTGAGTGAGGCAGGCGACCACAGCTAGGAGCTCCTTATCATGGATCTCATAGTTCTTCTCGGCAGAAGACATCTTCCTAGAGTAGAAGGCCACTGGATGCCATCGTCCTTCATGCTCCTGCTTGAGTACTCCTGCTATAGCAAAGTCACTTGCATCAGTCTCCAACCTTGTTGGAAGGTGGTAGTCGAAGTGCTGAAGCACTCCTGCTGATGTGAAGGCCTGGATGAGCTTGTGGAAGGCCTGTTGGGCCTCCTCTGGTAGCTCGAACTTCTTGAACCGTTCTATAGGCTTTACCAGTGCTGTCAAGGGCTTGGCTATGCGAGCAAAGTGGGCTATGAACCTTCGATAGAAGTTGGCAAAACCCAGGAACCTCTGGATGTCATGGATTGACTCTGGCATTGGCCACTCCTTGACAGTGCGCACCTTTTCTGGGTCCATCTCTATGCCCGTTGGCTTGATGATGTACCCCAGGAACTCAACTGTCTTGGTGTGGAACTCACACTTTGACAGCTTAGCAAAGAGCCTGTTGCTCCTTAAGCGAGTGAGGACCTCAGTGACATGCCTCACATGTGCTTCTTCAGTGTCACTGAAGATCAGGAAGTCATCTAGGTATACTACCACATATACTCCAATGATGTCTCGGAAGATGTCATTGATGAATGACTGGAAGTGAGCCGGAGCATTGGCTAGGCCAAAGGGCATCACTAGGTACTCATAGAGTCCCAACTGAGTGCCAAAAGCTGTCTTCCATTCATCTCCTTTAGCAATCCGGATGAGGTTGTATGCTGCTCTAAGGTCTAGCTTGGTATAGATCCTTGCCTTCCTGAGTAAGAACAGCTGCTCCTCGATGAGGGGCAATGGTGCCCTGTTCTTGACAGTGATCTCGTTGAGACCTCTGTAGTCCACACAGAGTCTGAGACCTCCATCCTTCTTTGGTACGAAGAGCACTGGTGATCGTGCCGGGCTCTTCGATGGTCTTATGAACCCCTTCTCGAGGTTCTCATCCAAGTATCTCCTTAACTCGGACATCTCCTTGGGTCCCTTAAGGTATAGGGGCCCTTGAGGTGGCTTACCTCCTTCTATCAACTCGAGGTGGAGATCATGCTCGGTATGATGGGGCAGCTTGTCTGCTTCCACCTCATCAAACACATCTCGCAGGTGTTGGTATGGCTTTGGTATGTCTGCAGCCGTCACCACCTTATCTACCTCCACCTCCATCTCGACTCCTTTGTCTGCGCCTGTAGGTACAAAACCAAAGGCTGGGAGTGATGATGGTGGCTCCTCTAACAGCATGAACCCTATGGGTCCATCTTCCAGAGCTGCTCGTAGTATGCGCTCTGCTGAGACAAACTCGTTACCATGGAGGGTTGGTCTCCTCATGGTTAGGTCCCCTGCTCTTGCTGCTTCAGGGGGTCTCCTAGGGGGTCTCCTAGGGGGTCGGTCCTGCTCCTGAGTCTTGAACTCCAGCTGGCCCGTATCCCATTGTATGGTGGGTTTGAGCCTCCGTAGCTCAGTGAACCCCAGGATGAGGTCATAGTCTGCAGTGTCGGCCACTGAAGCTTCGACCACACCCAGATTGTGTGTACCAATAGATACCTGCATGCTCGCAGAACTATTGATGGAGAGTTGGTGCCCGGTGACACCATGGATCGATCTTGTTTTTATGGGTTTTGTGGGTATTTGGTACTTACTAATGAAAGAATCTGAGACTATGGACAAACCAGCACCGGTATCAGCTAGTATCCGAGCAGGATGGTCTTGAACCATTCCAGAGAGCTCCAGTACTGCTTTGCCTCCACTGGTAGAGAAACATACTTGACAATCTTGATATATACAGAGTGATGGCGAGGAGGTTTGTAGAGCAATGCATGCCATCAGTGCATCACCCCACTGACGTTTCCCTCGTCGTCATCATCATCGTGCTCCTCCTCGTGATCGGGGTCCATGGGTTGCTGGTATGAGCTGAGGTCCATGGCCTCGGGGTCACCCGTCTCAGTGCTGCCTGTGGGGCCATCTCCTGAGTCGGTGGCCTCCTCGAAGGGGTCTGCTGTGGTGACCATAACCTTTGGTCCCATGGGTCGAGAGCTAAGAGGGTCTACCCTCCTGCTGGGGCAGTCTCTGGCCCAATGGCCGATACCCTTGCATACATGACAGGTGTTGATACCTGATGGAGCAGGGCTTCCTTGCTTCGAGGGTTGGGTGGGATGATGAGGAAGGGGTCGGTTTAGGTTTTGTATAGTTGCTTGTGTAGTTGCTTGTGTAGTTGCTTGTGATGGTGATCGAGCTGGATAAGGTTGAGTGGGTTGTCGGATGGGGATTGAACTTTGATTTGGCCGAGACCCAGTTCTTAGTGGAGGTGACGTGGCATTTGGAAGTGAGTGTCTAGCCGAGGACTGCTGTAGTAGCATCCTCTGTCGATCGATCTCCTCGACCTCTCGATACCACTCCCATCTCTTCCCAGGTGGATTCCTCTTGAACTTCTCCTGTATGCTACGAGTGAGACTACCTCTGAAGAGATCAATCACTAGCTCATTGTCATCTAGGTTGACCTGTCCTTCCAAGTCTCTGAACCGCTCTACATGACGTGTGGCGGCACCAGGAGCATCACTTGTGAGTCTGAGAGCCAACAGCTTGTTGTATGCCTCCATCCTAGCATTGCGTGGGTTGAACTGCTCTGACAGTCGCTCTGTGAAGTAGTGCCAATCATTGAACAACCTTCCTTCTCTAGCTCTATCAATACGGAGCTTGGAGGTCCACCACTCTCTTGCTGTCCCTTCCAGTTGAGCACCCATGTGATTGATCATCCTAGACTGCTCATACACCTGGTTGAACTTAAACCATGCTTCGGCTTCTAGAATGAAGATCTCCATGTCTCGGGGATTGAACTTTGGAAAGGGGGTGGTGATGGGCTTTGACCGGTTAAGCTCTGCCATGATGCTGGTATCCTCCTCGTGGTCCAGGGGGTAAGGGTCCGTCCTAGTCCTGCTGTAGGGGTCCAGCTTAGTCTTGACATATCTTGGCCCAGTAGGTGAGGCATACTTCTCATAGTTGATGTCCTCCTGCTCATCCAGGTTGAATGAGACTGATCGTCTTGATCGTGGAGCAGGAGTAGGAGTATGTGGGTCTCCTATCATAGACTCATCTCCTCCTCCTGCTTGGTCTTCTGAGTGAGAGAGGTCCATTGTCTCCTCCCTGCTCAGTTGAGCTCGTTGTAATCGTTCCTCTCGATGACCCTGTCTGGTAAGCTCTAGCTGTGCTTCCAATAGAGTGAGTAGTCTATCGAGCTTATTGTTGAGGTCTGGGTCCGTCATGGTGATCGTGAGGAGCTGCTTGAACGATCCACTCTAATGTCAGGGGTCTCGCGCCTGAAACCCAGGTCGGTCCGTCGAGATACTCGGTGACTATCAAACTGTGTGACAGCTATTGTCTCGGTATCGGTGACTATCAAGTCGTGCAGTGACAGCAGGTGGCGTTCGTTGTATATACTATCGTAGGTTTCGGCTGACCTCTGTGGACACTCCGTTCAGGGGTAGCTCGGCACGATCGATATCAATGTTATGATGACACCAAGGTCTGGTGTGAGTGTTGATGATGATGAGGTTGATGGTGTTGGTGAGGGGATTGGTGATGTCGATGATAATGAGGTTGATGGTGTTGGTGATAAGGTTGGTGGCGTCAACACGAGTGTCCAGTGTGTTGACTTGATGCTTGAAGTGATCCCCGGACCGCAGTGGACTACTGCCTTCGGTTCTATCTATATCCGGACCGCTAACCTGCTATGGGCGCCTTCGGACGTCAGGTAGTGGTGATACTACACACACACTACGATGAGGAACAACCTTGATAGATTGCTGCTATGCTGACTGTAACTAATGAGTACTTGTGTTTCTAAAGTATTGACTAGTTGTATGGTGAGTAGAGTGGATGGGGATCCACTCGACCTATGATGATGAGAAAGCATGGTTATATACCTCTTCACAGCATTGCCAGCGATGCTGCTCCTGCTCTCTCTCCAGAGAGTGCCTTCTTCATCGAGTACTGCTCAGGGGCCTCTCCTACTTGGCACCCCTGTGCCTCTTGTCGACACTGCTCCTCCTTCTCATGACCTGGTGTCGACTCCTCTGCTCCTCCTCCTTTGATCAGTGACAGTTCCTTTGGCTCTTGTCTCTCGAGCCCCTGAGTGGTAACCATCTGCATGCTCCTTGAGCTTGGTCCTCTTCGTGGTTGTGCATGGCCCTCCTTTGCATGTGAGTCCATAGGAGTCCATGGTCTCCATGGAAACTGCACTACGACCATGCTCTCTACTGGTGTCGACTAGGTCTTCGATACCTGTGCTCCTTCCATATGAACCCATGACCCTCCTGCTTCTTGAGCATCCAGGCCCATGACACATCCTTCTTTGGTATGAAGAGCACCGGTGATCGTGCCGGGCTCTTCGATGGTCTTATGAACCCCTTCTCGAGGTTCTCATCCAAGTATCTCCTCAACTCGGACATCTCCTTGGGTCCCTTAAGGTATAGGGGCCCTTGAGGTGGCTTACCTCCTTCTATCAACTCGAGGTGGAGATCATGCTCGGTATGATGGGGCAGCTTGTCTGCTTCCACCTCATCAAACACATCTCGCAGGTGTTGGTATGGCTTTGGTATGTCTGCAGCCGTCACCACCTTATCTACCTCCACCTCCATCTCGACTCCTTTGTCTGCGCCTGTAGGTACAAAACCAAAGGCTGGGAGTGATGATGGTGGCTCCTCTAACAGCATGAACCCTATGGGTCCATCTTCCAGAGCTGCTCGTAGTATGCGCTCTGCTGAGACAAACTCGTTACCATGGAGGGTTGGTCTCCTCATGGTTAGGTCCCCTGCTCTTGCTGCTTCAGGGGGTCTCCTAGGGGGTCTCCTAGGGGGTCGGTCCTGCTCCTGAGTCTTGAACTCCAGCTGGCCCGTATCCCATTGTATGGTGGGTTTGAGCCTCCGTAGCTCAGTGAACCCCAGGATGAGGTCATAGTCTGCAGTGTCGGCCACTGAAGCTTCGACCACACCCAGATTGTGTGTACCAATAGATACCTGCATGCTCGCAGAACTATTGATGGAGAGTTGGTGCCCGGTGACACCATGGATCGATCTTGTTTTTATGGGTTTTGTGGGTATTTGGTACTTACTAATGAAAGAATCTGAGACTATGGACAAACCAGCACCGGTATCAGCTAGTATCCGAGCAGGATGGTCTTGAACCATTCCAGAGAGCTCCAGTACTGCTTTGCCTCCACTGGTAGAGAAACATACTTGACAATCTTGATATATACAGAGTGATGGCGAGGAGGTTTGTAGAGCAATGCATGCCATCAGTGCATCACCCCACTGACGTTTCCCTCGTCGTCATCATCATCGTGCTCCTCCTCGTGATCGGGGTCCATGGGTTGCTGGTATGAGCTGAGGTCCATGGCCTCGGGGTCACCCGTCTCAGTGCTGCCTGTGGGGCCATCTCCTGAGTCGGTGGCCTCCTCGAAGGGGTCTGCTGTGGTGACCATAACCTTTGGTCCCATGGGTCGAGAGCTAAGAGGGTCTACCCTCCTGCTGGGGCAGTCTCTGGCCCAATGGCCGATACCCTTGCATACATGACAGGTGTTGATACCTGATGGAGCAGGGCTTCCTTGCTTCGAGGGTTGGGTGGGATGATGAGGAAGGGGTCGGTTTAGGTTTTGTATAGTTGCTTGTGTAGTTGCTTGTGTAGTTGCTTGTGATGGTGATCGAGCTGGATAAGGTTGAGTGGGTTGTCGGATGGGGATTGAACTTTGATTTGGCCGAGACCCAGTTCTTAGTGGAGGTGACGTGGCATTTGGAAGTGAGTGTCTAGCCGAGGACTGCTGTAGTAGCATCCTCTGTCGATCGATCTCCTCGACCTCTCGATACCACTCCCATCTCTTCCCAGGTGGATTCCTCTTGAACTTCTCCTGTATGCTACAAGTGAGACTACCTCTGAAGAGATCAATCACTAGCTCATTGTCATCTAGGTTGACCTGTCCTTCCAAGTCTCTGAACCGCTCTACATGACGTGTGGCGGCACCAGGAGCATCACTTGTGAGTCTGAGAGCCAACAGCTTGTTGTATGCCTCCATCCTAGCATTGCGTGGGTTGAACTGCTCTGACAGTCGCTCTGTGAAGTAGTGCCAATCATTGAACAACCTTCCTTCTCTAGCTCTATCAATACGGAGCTTGGAGGTCCACCACTCTCTTGCTGTCCCTTCCAGTTGAGCACCCATGTGATTGATCATCCTAGACTGCTCATACACCTGGTTGAACTTAAACCATGCTTCGGCTTCTAGAATGAAGATCTCCATGTCTCGGGGATTGAACTTTGGAAAGGGGGTGGTGATGGGCTTTGACCGGTTAAGCTCTGCCATGATGCTGGTATCCTCCTCGTGGTCCAGGGGGTAAGGGTCCGTCCTAGTCCTGCTGTAGGGGTCCAGCTTAGTCTTGACATATCTTGGCCCAGTAGGTGAGGCATACTTCTCATAGTTGATGTCCTCCTGCTCATCCAGGTTGAATGAGACTGATCGTCTTGATCGTGGAGCAGGAGTAGGAGTATGTGGGTCTCCTATCATAGACTCATCTCCTCCTCCTGCTTGGTCTTCCGAGTGAGAGAGGTCCATTGTCTCCTCCCTACCCAGCTGAGCTTGTTGTAGTCGTTCCTCTCGATGACCCTGCCTAGTAAGCTCTAGCTGAGCTTCCAATAGAGTGAGTAGTCTATCGAGCTTATTGTTGAGGTCTGGGTCCATCATGGTGATCGTGAGGAGCTGCTTGAACGATCCACCCTAATGTCAGGGGTCTCGCGCCTGAAACCCAGGTCGGTCTGTCGAGATACTCGGTGACTATTAAACTGTGTGACAGCTATTGTCTCGGTATCGGTGACTATCAAGTTGTGCAGTGACAGCAGGTGGCGTTCGTTGTATATACTATCGTAGGTTTCGGCTGACCTCTGTGGACACTCCGTTCAGGGGTAGCTCGGCACAATCAATATCAATGTTATGATGACACCAAGGTCTGGTGTGGGTGTTGATGATGATGAGGTTGATGGTGTTGGTGATGAGATTGGTGATGTCGATGATAATGAGGTTGATGGTGTTGATGATAAGATTGGTGATGTCAATGATAATGAGGTTGATGGTGTTGGTGATAAGGTTGGTGGCGTCAACACGAGTGTCCAGTGTGTTGACTTGATGCTTTGAAGTGATCCCCGGACCGCAGTGGACTACTGCCTTCGGTTCTATCTATATCCAGACCGCTAACCTGCTATGGGCGCCTTCGGACGTCAGGTAGTGGTGATACAACACACACACTACGATGAGGAGCAACCTTGATAGATTGCTGCTATGCTGACTGTAACTAATGAGTACTTGTGTTTCTAAAGTATTGACTAGTTGTATGGTGAGTAGAGTGGATGAGGATCCACTCGACCTATTGATGAGAAAGCATGGTTATATACCTCTTCTCAGCATCGCCAGCGATGCTGCTCCTGCTCTCTCTCCAGAGAGTACCTTCTTCATCGAGTACTGCTCAGGGGCCTCTCCTGCTTGGCACCCCTGTGCCTCTTGAGCTGTGTCGACTCCTTCGACACTGCTCCTCCTCCTCATGACCTGGTGTCGACTCCTTCGACACTGCTCCTCCTCCTTTGATCAGTGACAGTTCCTTTGGCTCTTGTCTCTCGAGCCCCTGAGTGGTAACCATCTGCATGCTCCTTGAGCTTGGTCCTCTTCGTGGCTGTGCCTGCTCCTTGAGCTTGGTCCTCCTCGTGGCTGTGCCTGCTCCTTGAGCTTGGTCCTCCTCGTGGCTGTGCTTGGCCCTCCTTTGCATGTGAGTCCATAGGAGTCCATGGTCTCCATGGAGACTGCACTACGACCATGCTCTCTACTGGTGTCGACTAGGTCTTCGATACCTGTGCTCCTTCCATATGAACCCATGACCCTCCTGCTTCTTGAGCATCCAGGCCCATGACAACCATCTCCAAGATTTTGGCCAAGGTGTGGTAATTGTATCAGTCATCATTGTTGTCCGATTCTGATCCTCCTTCATCCTCATTGTCAAAATACTCTGTCTCATTACCATCGGTGGCCTCTTTGTTGATTTGTGCTCGTTGTGGCATTTTACCTTTTCTTGTCCTCCTGGCTGCTTCACCCAAGCTGGCTTGGCAGTTGTTGTCTCCTGCCATATTTGAATGTCATGGGTTCGAGCCCCACGTTGGGAGCCAGTTGAATTAGGTACACTGCTCTAGAGGCCACAGTCAGGCACTCCTTTACAGTCAGGTGTGTCTAATTGAGAAGACTTAAATTGTGTAAGGAGGTAGTGACTAAGCTAAGAACATATATACATATTCTCTGCACCTGACACTGCTCACTTTGTCGAGTCATGCCCATGTGCCACGTATCTTCTATCATAAGCATTGTCATATCAACATGTCCCCTCCATACCATGGTGTCAATCCTCATGCATAGGCTGCATTAGCTCCCACCAGCCTCTCATCTTGCCTGTCCTCCTCATCGCCTGATGCCCTCCTGATTCCCTGATCCTTTGAGCTCCCATTTACTATATCATGCATTAGCGATGCTGGTGCCTCTTCAACTCACACACACACACAGACAATTCTCAGGTGGAGAGATACGAGCGAGGGCTGAGTCCGGAGCGGGAAAAATAACAGGGAGAGGGGCATTTTGGCGAGGCGAATCGGAATCGGAGAGATTAGTTGCTTAGAGCAGTCGGCGGCAGTAGAGGACTGACAGCGGCAGGCTTCCATCATCCGGCACTTGTCTTTGTCGATGATCATGGCGCGGGCCATCCGAATTCCCAAAAAAATAAAATCAATCCAAAAAAACAGATATCTCCATCTCTGAGGCATTGAGGCTCTGTGTGCGATCAAGTCATACGGCAAGGCAGTGCTGTGGCGAGAGTTAGGCTTTGCCATTCTCACGCACTCAAAGTTGGCTTCCTGCCGCGCGATTTTAGCATTCTTTCTTTTCCGAACTCGAAAGCTTCAGAACAGCGACAAGAGGGCAGTGGAAGTGGAAGTGGAAGTGTGGCATGAGCAGGTCGATGAACAGGTCGATGAGCCGATGATGCTGAGATTTGTGATTGATGCCGATCCGTAGCGCCACGCTTTTTCTCATCGATCCGCCTTATTTGCGGTTGCCAACCGCTTCTTTTTGTTCTTCTCTTGTATCTTGTTTCTAAAAATCGCCTCGTTGACCGACAAATGGTATTACAATAAATACAAATTACTAGAATCACCCGATTCGAAGGGCTCGACGGCCATCACTGTTGCTCAACGAACGTTGAAATTCGCCGATGCACTGCTCCAGGCAGCAAGCTTGTTTGATATGACCAGATCAGTGTTCAAGTCGCCGAAAACTTGGTCTGTAATGTGGTGAGCGGCTCATGGCAACTCACTAAACCAGCTTTCAAGTTCTGTTATTCCCACAAAAAATTCAGGTTCATCAGTGGGCTCTGGTAAGACGGCCTTTGAAGTAGCTGCAAGACCCTGAATCGTATCCTTGCCGACACCCCCTGGCCCCTGGTGACCCTCTATGGATCGTGAGGAGCATGCTCAGATCCCGAGCTGATGTGGGTCTTGGTCCATTGATCAGACATCATCATCGGAAGTGGGCTTGTGATTGTTATATGCTGGAGCTTCTGTGCAGGCCGAAAAGTGTGCAGGCCGAAATCTGTGCAGCGCCGACTTCATCTTGGTGCCTGTCAGATCATCAGAATCAAGAGAGCAGATGGGATCTACAATGTATTTGCAAAAAGCTATTGTTCATCTTAGTCTCGCCTTGTTTTCTAAAACTGCCAGTTGAGAGGGGTTCGAGACTGTCGGCTGTTCACCGATTCAGGGTCTTTCAGAAGACCTCTCAGGTTTCAGGCTTTCCGACACGAACAAGACTCGAAAGCAACTTTGAATAGGACTTTCACTTGAAGTTGAAGCTTGGATTCGAACTCTGAAACCAGAACCTTAAATTGCAAATACAATCGTTTTCCTACCATCACTTCAAAAACCTATTAAAGAAAAGAGAAGGCTTGACTACAACCTTCGGCAGAAAGGGTTTAGTGATACTGCAAAGTTTGTAATTTACCGCCGCCTGTGGGTTTCGGTTGATTTTCCTATTTTCCAGAGAGGCTTCAAGGCTAGTCAGAGGGAGAGTTAGACTGCTCACTCGACTGATATAGGGGTTGAGGAGCGGGCGTGAATTGTGAGGGTGAAAGTGAGTGAGAGTGGGCGTTGCAGCTCTCCTTTACCGCTTAACATGCTTTTGGCCTTCCCCCTGGATTGAATTCAATTCAATTCGCAAAGGCTTTTCGTTGCCTCTGAATGGCCGCGCCCCTTGCTCCTCTGCCCGCACACAATATACTCACACAATATACTCACCCACCCACACTCAGACACGCACCTTGAAATTGCTCTTCTGTGGCTCTGCAGCCTGCGAGAAGGGCGCGCGTCTCTTTGGCTCTTGGCTCTTGGCTCTTGGCTCTTGGCTACTGCTCGGCTCTGAATCGCCTGCCACCCTCTTGCTGTTTTGGCTGTTGATATGGTCGGATCGGTTTCACCTTGGACAGCTCTACCACCTTCTTCCTTCAATAGCATCTTTCTTCTTCTTCTTTTTCTTCCAACCTCGTCGACAGTCTCTAGCACACACTCTGCACTTCTTTCTCTCCGAGCTACCTTTGCATCTGCAACACCTCATCGGAGAAACGTCACAAAAGCGCACATTCCAAAAACGCAAACCATCGTTCGCTAGCTTCCCTCTAAAATCCCACCATCTCACGCCTCTGGACGCATCGGCTGTCATCTTTCGCTCAACTAAACTTAACCTATCTTCAAGCTAGAAGGTAAGTGTCTATCAGCTACTTCCCCCATCTCTGCAGTTCCTCAGCGCAAACCTGTCAACTTCGGTATACAACATCTTGGCCTGGCTATCGACATCCACCCTGATAATCACAACCTAGCTTCAACAGCGCAGTCAGTCTCTTGCGCCACCACGCCCGACAATTCAGCTGGCGAACATCGCTTGCGCTCCCTGTTGGCGAAACGACGGAAGCGACCAAGTTGGACAGTCTCATTGTAGATAGCTTTGCGCCCCAACCCATGCAGCCCAGCATGCGTAGAAGCCAAGCGTTGATATGGCGACCGCCAATCGCCGATAGCAGAGACAAGTGCAAGGTGCAATATCTTCCATTCACGCCTACTAGACCCTATCTGACCCATTCCTCATTCTCTTTTCTGCCTTTCTTTGCCTGGCTCCCACTCTTCCCTCGCTTCCCTCTTCTCCTCAACCAACCGACAATCGTCTACGCCAACCCAAATCCTCTTGACTCCCAACAGACTTGAGAAATGCAGACCATCAAGTGTGTCGTCGTCGGCGACGGTGCCGTCGGTAAGACCTGTCTCTTGATCTCCTACACCACCAACAAGTTCCCCTCGGAGTACGTTCCTACCGTTTTCGACAACTATGCCGTCACCGTCATGATCGGTGAGGACCCATACACACTCGGACTCTTCGATACTGCTGGACAGGAGGACTACGACCGATTGCGACCTCTCTCATACCCGCAGACCGACGTCTTCCTCGTCTGCTTCTCCGTCACCTCGCCAGCATCCTTCGAGAACGTCAAGGAGAAGTGGTTCCCCGAAGTTCACCACCACTGCCCCGGTGTCCCTTGCCTCATTGTCGGAACACAGGTGGATTTGCGAGACGACCACGCCGTGATCGAGAAGTTGGCACGTTCAAAGCAGCGGCCCGTCCCTTTCGAGGCCGGTGAGCGATTGGCGAGAGAGTTGGGTGCCGTCAAGTACGTCGAGTGCTCGGCGCTTACGCAGAAGGGTTTGAAAAACGTCTTTGACGAGGCTATCGTAGCAGCGCTGGAACCACCTGTCATTCGAAAGAAGTCCAAGTGCGCCATTCTCTAAACACAACATACCCGCCCTGCCCTCCACCTCGATCACACCACATTCTCGGAGCCATATCTTCATCGTACTCGTGCCGCCATCGCATTCCATGCTTCTTTCCATCTCATCGTCCTCGTGCCGCCATTGCATTCCATGCTTCTTTCCATCTCACCAACCTCCTTCGCCCATGCTTTTCGCACTGCTAGGCTCCAGTCATAGACATTCAACCTCTGCTAGACGCAGATGGCCCACTTCAGCCAAGCTTTGCAGAACCCTCTTCACCTCTCCCCCACCTATGATGTCAACCTTGTTTTTTTTTTTTTGTTTTTTTTTCCGCGTTCTGTTGCACTTTACGTTTGCCGCTACAATCATGCGAAGCCAGCTGCGCTCAGGTCGAATGCTACACTTTCACCCTCATTCGGCCAGCTCGACGGCTTGTCAACGAAAGCACTCAACGAGGAATCGACAGCAACGCAATGTCTCACCTTGCCATCCACCACCTCACCTCGCCTTTCCTGTGTCTCCTGTGGGCCATTCTCTGCTGCGTTGCTGCGCTTGACGATGTACCAAGTCCCATGCAATTGACTCTATGCTTTCTCACCACCTCTTGTGCCATTTTGCCAAGTCAAAGCATGACTGACAGACTGGGCAACTTCGCCCGTCCAAACTGGCCTTGAAGGACCTTTCTCTCTCAGAACGTCGCTTTCGACATCCAAGCGGCTCTGCCTATGTGATCCTCAGAAAAGAGGCTTTAATGGTCTCTTGATCGGTCAATTTTGAGGCCTTTTCCCAGACCCACACGCCTAAACGCGCTCCAAAAGCGTCCCTTTCCAGAAATGTCAAAATGCGAAATAAAAGTGTCTGACTCCTATCACGGCATATTTCTGAAGAAATTGAGGTCGTATGAGGTCCCGATACTGGTGATCGGGGATGGTCTAAGTACGATGTCACTACTTTGTTACAGTAGAAACATATACTAAATTGACCTACAAGAATGTAGCGAGAGCCTAGTGCTCTCTGTGAGATATATATACATGTGAGCGGCACAAGCCAAATGTGGGACTGCTCCTACTTAATGATCTAGCCTGACAACGAGCGAGACTTGGTTGTACCCGATCCTCAACAAACTCGATTGTCCCCGATCTCCGATCTCGTCGCCCTAGCGTCACTTGTTAGCGTCATCACTGGATCGTTACTTTCAGCAATTTCAAGTTACGCACGTCCCTTTTGTCAAGCTATTTGACCTTGTCCAGCTGTGCTACAGTGTTAGGATGGGACCGGCTGCTTCCGAGTCTACTCGAGCCGACACTCTCACTTGCTACATCCCAACCATTCCCCACCATTCATCCTCTAGCTCTTGCAAATACCGGAAAGATCGAAGGAACAACAGCTTGCTTTCGCTCCTCTCGCTCCTTTCGCCCCACCATCTCCTACCTGGTCAAGCAAGTGTCCTCAAGAATGAAGCTGACAACCCCGCTCACGCCATGGCTGGCTTTGGCCCTAAGCCTGTCCACCCTCAACATCCCAGCCAATGCTACGCCTACAATCAGCTCGGACGAGGCTTCGGCAAACGCACCCTCTTACATCAGTGCTGAGCGTCTGACCCATTCAACGCCTCGTCGCATGGATGGCTTCCAGCGCATGCTCGAACGGAGATATAAGAGACAGCAAGAACGTAACGAGCTTGCTCAAGCCAAGGCTGCAGAGTACTCCGACGAGACTGACAACGTCCTCCTTGGCCGGGTCTGGAACGCTGTTCATGGCGGCCTCTCCATGCAACAAGACGTTGGCTCCACCCTATCCAAGTTTCTGGACTACATTAGTATTGCTGACGTCTCCGCGACAAAGAGGAGCAAGAAGCACAACATCAAAGAACCCCTCTACCACAAGCAGCCTTTGGATCACTTTGACAACACCACCCAAGCTCAGTTCGAACAACGCTTCTTCTACTCTACTCGACACTACAAACCCGCTTCGGCCCGCAGAAACGGTGAAGCGGTACCCATCTATATTCTCGACAGTGGTGAGGCTGATGCCACCGCCCGTATCCCTTTCCTCGACACCGGTATTCTCGATATCTTCTCCAAAGCTACTGGCGGCATTGGCATTGTCCTCGAGCACCGCTACTATGGAACCTCGCTCCCAAACCGCACTGAGTTGGGCTCGGGAGATGCTTGGGGAGTAGACCAACTTCGATGGCTCACCAACAAGCAAGCCCTCCAAGACTCAGCCGACTTCATTCGAAACCTCGACATTCCAGGCACGGATAATAGCGAGAAACGCAAGATCATCTACTATGGTGGAAGTTACCCCGGCGCAAGAGCTGCTCACATGCGTTTCCTCTATCCCGAACTTGTCCATGGCGCTATTGCATCCAGCGCGGTAGTCACTGCTGTGGACGAATTCCCAGAATATTTCTACCCCATTGCAAGAGGTGCACCCACCAACTGCAGTCAAGCTATCCAAGCGGCTATTGCTGGCATTGATGAGATTGTTGCTCCCAACCCACTCACTGGTGCTGATCAGCCTGAACGAGATACTAACCGCACCCAGCAGCTGCTCGAGCTGTTTGGTCTTCAAGGCCTAACCAACCTCGGCGACCTAGCCAATCTCAACACCTACCCTTTGGGTTCATTCCAGAGTCTCAACTGGGATCCAAAAGTCTCCTCCACCGAGTTTGGCCAGTTCTGTGATGTACTCACCACTTACGGCACCAAGCAAGCCTACGAAACCGATTCACCTAGCGCTCATGCTGAAGCTCAAGGTCTCAACATATCACGTCAAGTTCATGCATACGCACACTACATGCGCACCAACTACGTCCAACCCTGCACTCAAGGCGAAGATGGTCAACCAGGCTCCACCGCAGATGAATGTTTCGGTACCGACTACGAAGCATTTGCTTCCGAAACTAAACTTTCCGCTGGTCGAGCTTGGACTTTCCAATACTGCTCTATTTGGGGTTACATCATGACTGCCCCTCCCCTTCCACGATATCTTCCCACACCAGATGGCAAGAGCAAGTACTTTGTTTCTTCCGGTCCAAAGCTCCTTTCGACCCTGCTGGATTATGACTATGCACACCAGATCTGCGAAAAAGGCTTCCCAGCTGGTCAACACTTGACAATGCCGGAGAGACCAGATATCGATGAGGTGAACAGATTGGGCAGCTTTAGCTTGTCAGTGGATAGGCTGGCCTTTGTCGACGGACAGTATGATCCTTGGAGGCCCGCGACGGTGCATAGTGAGGAATTTGCCAGTGGAGGAGCAAGGGCAGATACGATTCAGAGACCGTTCAAGTTGATTCCGGATTGCTGGCATCACTGCGATGAGAATGGGTTGAAAGATGACAAGAAGACGCCAGAAAGAGTGAGGTTGATTCATGAACAGCAGCTCGAGTTTGTCAAGCAGTGGTTGAAGCAGGATTGATACTAATTTCTTCGATGAATGGAAGAATAGAATCGTCGCTCATACAATGCAATGCAAAGATCCCTTCACAGACGCATACTTTTCGCTACGAGGGAGACGGTATGCTGTGTGGAATGAGCGATTGAATTGTGCAACTTGAGAGTACATGTGATAAAGAACCGGATCCAAAATGCCAAACTGAAATGCGGAGCGTCCTACGACCTTCTCCTCTTCGCAGGAGCGACCTCCTCTTCCTCCTCCTCGTCATCCTCCTCCTCACCATCCTCATCCTCATCCTCATTGCTGTTAGTAGTCATGTCATCCATCTCCAGCTCCTCGTCATCACTTCCCTCGGCCCCATACATGTCCTCGTCATCCTCATCGTCATCATCGTCATCGTCATCATCGTCATCGTCATCATCGTCATCATCCTCCCCACTGCTAGCTGTAGGATCCAAATGCTTTTTCAAACCCTTCATCTTCCTCGTCTGCAACCCACTAAGATCCTGCTTACCCACATGGATCCTACCCACAGTATCACCCATGTCATCCGTCTCGATATTCTTCTTGACACCCTCCTTACCCTGTCTGTTCTTCTCTGCCTGCGTCTTAGGTCTGCGCAGAGCCTGGTTAAGCATATCGATGCTAGCCGGTCTACGTCTTCGCAGCTGGAAATCGAACGATGGACCGCACTCTTGCAATTCCACCCTAGCAATCTTTGTCCCCGAAGCGAGCAATTGCACCGTGTAAACGCGGAAATGAATAAGAGTACCGGCAGGCGACATAACAACGGACGATGTTGAAGGCGTCACAACAGTCCCGTTAGGTGTGAGACCAGCTGCTTTGTATAAGTCTGACAATCTCTCACCACCTCCCGTGCTGCCGTTTGTGTTTGACGAACAAGATCCGTTGCGCTGGTCTGGCGCAGGAGCAGCAGTAACTGAAATCACATGTTGCAATCCCGACAATGCAATTTGATTCGTCTTCAACTCCTCACCCCTGTAAAAATCCAACAGCATACTCTTAAACTGTTGATAAGCACCTGTTGGGTCATGCTCTGTCCCCTCCGCACCTGCAGTCATACTCGTAGTTGCATCCGTAGGCGCAGTAAACTGCGGTCCACTGAAATGGAACAAAGGTCTCATCCCAACACCTGGCCTAGTTACTCCTTTAAACTCGTTCATCGACTTGGCTTCGACAACACCCATTTCGACCATATCCAACACTTGTCCATCAAACATTCGAATCCAAGTCAAGTTGTCGGGACGCTTCTTTTGCGAGTTTCCGAACATGAACAGCGATGCATCATTCTTCGAACTCCAGAACTCGAACGATGAGGTATCCTCGAAGGGAAGAGCTTCGTTTTTCTTGCTGAATGCAATGCCGTCGGGCTTTTTAAGAAGGTTGAGTTCGGTAAGGGCGACATTGAGTCGTTGGGATGAGTGAGGGCCTTTGACGAAGATGGCAGTTTTGGCTGCTTCGTATTCTCGAGCTTGACGCTTTTCCAGAGCACGCTTGGATCGAGCGTTCTTAGGTTTGGCGACGCGGATCATCGTTGCAGCAGCTTTTGTAGGTGGTGCAAGGGTGTTGATAGTGGGACCGCTGATGGTGTCAAGTCCGTTGTTGTCGAGTGAAAGAGAGAGCAAGAGGAGCTTCCAAAGCAAAAACCCTTCCAAAGAATCTAAAATTTGAGAGAGAGAGAAAAAGCTTGCTTACATAAGCCGTTTTTTTGCTACGACCCTGCCTCTTAAAATTTCGCTGCACTCCACTTTTTTTTTTCTTCTCGTTCTTCCTCTTCATCTTAAGTACCTTCACAATCACAACTCTCGAAAGTGCAGTCAACAAGATGATCAGCGCTCTCCACTGGATCGCGAGGGGCAAAAGCCTTGCGCATCCCAAAAAATACGTTTTGGACAATGCCGAAATGGAACGAGTCTCCAAGATGGCCAACATTGAGTTCGAAGATGCCAAAGCTCAACTCGAACGTGCTCAACGCGACATTGCCCGTGGCAAAGATCCTTTCGCTCCTAATAACGAAGACCACAACGACGACGACAACGACGACGACGACGACGACGACGACGAAGAGGAATGGAAAGATGATGAGGAGATGAAAGACGATTCCGCTGCCCCCTCCTCCACCACCGATGCTAAGACAGAAGACCCAGACGATCTCTCACGATACAACCTGGACGAGTACGACGAAGAACCCACCGATGTTGCCTCTGCAACCGCTGGTGCATTCTCCAACATCCGCGGCCTCGCAGTCTACCAGTCCAACGAAGACGATCCATACATCACAGTTCAAGATGCAGCTGAAAAGGATGATGAAGAGGAACGAGAAGAGTTGCAAATCTACCCCACCGACAACTTGATCATCACTGCTAAGACGGAAGATGACGTTTCGCAGCTCGAGGCATATGTCTATGCTGCACAGGATAGCAATCTTTATGTACATCACGATTTGATGTTGCCTTCTTTCCCACTCTGTTTGGAGTGGTTGGATTATAGTCCGGCCAGATCGGAGGCGGATCAGAACAGTGGAAAGCCAGCGGGCGAGTTGGGAAACTTTATTGCCGTGGGAACTATGGATCCGGAGATCGAAGTGTGGAGTATGGATGTGGTTGATGGAATGTATCCTGATGCTATTTTGGGTAGAAAGACGGAGACGGAGACGTTGAACGCACCCTTGGGTACGGGAAAGAAGAAGCGTAAACAGAGCAAAGCAAGGGTTGCAAACGATGCCTACCACGTTGACGCTGTTCTCTCCCTCAGCTGGAACCCGGTTGCTCGTAATCTCCTTGCTTCCGCATCAGCAGATTGCACGGTTAAGCTGTGGGACCTTTCGCGTCCTCACACCAGCGAATCCTCCACCGCATTCCGTTCTTTCGCCTCCCACACAGACAAAGTTCAATCGGTAGCATGGCAATGCAAAGCCATCGGTGGCGACGGCGCATCTTCCGCTAACCCAGCTGTCCTTCTCACCGGCTCATACGATAAAACCATCCGAATATTCGACACCCGCACTCCAGACCAAGCCACGATGATCGCCATCGGTTCGGACATTGAATCCGTAGTATGGAACGGTTGGTCCCCTTCCTCTTCCCAATTCCTTTCCTCGCTCGAATCTGGAATCGTCCAATCCTTCGATATCCGCAACCCCTCCACCCCCCTCTGGACTCTCCAAGCACACGATACCGCCGCAACCGCCGTAGACATCTCTCCTCACATCCCTAACGCTATCCTCACCGCTTCTTCCGATCGAAGTATCAAGTTGTGGAACCTTACCACTTCCGACTCCACCACCACACCTCCTTCTGCTATCAACCTCGTCTTGTCGAGAGATCTGGGTATCGGAAAGATCTTCGCTGCTACATTCAGCCCTAATGATCCACTCACCCTTGCTGCTGCTGGCAGTGCAGGTCAGTTGCAAGTCTTTAACTCACTCAGCAATGCAGGTGTCAGAAAGTCCTTCGGTGATAGGTTGAGCAAGTTGGTAGGAGAATTCAACATCCATCTCAATCCAACAGAGACAAGTACAGCAGATGGTATCGTACGCGTTCAAGATGATGATGACGACGATGACGACGATCAACCTGCTACCGGAGCGGACGATATGCAGGACTGAGTTACCCCAGTCACACTTTTAGCATGTTTCGCATTAATTTTAGCATCTCTCGAGAACTTCGCCGCCTTCTGAGATTGTGTGTGAATGATTGCGATGTCCGACAGTCTACAGGAATAATCAACACCACTACTGGGATCTACTATTGTTCACCTCTCTTGCAAGAAACTCCTAAACTTCCAACTCGGCAACTTTTTCCCATTCGCTCCCTTCTTCCCCCCGTTCCCACCAACCCCTGCTCCACCACCCTCCTCTCGGTATGAACTCCCACTAACCAACCCCCAAACGGGATGTCCCAACCCCACCTGCACCTCCTCCCCCACCAACTGATTCCACAAAAACGTCGTCTGTCTAACCGCTACCTCCACCAACGGCTGACTAGGTTTGCCACTCCTCAACAGAATTGCACTATTCACCTGTTCCGCCAAAGCAACTTTCCTCGACCTATGCAAGAACCTCCTAACCGGACTATGCTCTACATCTGTATACGCCAATAACGCAGTAACTTGTTCTAGCTCTTTGAGATACATCGCTCTCCAAAAGCTCGGCAGTCTTTGCGCTGAAGCATACAACCCCTGTGCATAGGCGAGTGCGGAATGGAGTGCGGGGTTGAGAGCTGCATTCGTACCCGTTGCTGAGGTAGCTGAGCCACTGGATGAGGATGTTGAGGGAGCAGGAGAGGCAGCTCGGGAGATAGCTGCTGCTGCAATGCCCGGTGTTGTACTCGCTAGTGAGGGTAAGCTTCCAACCGACACACCGAGTTGGGCAGTGCAAGAGGAATTACAAGCCAGCTGAGAAGAGGACGCTGATCTGATAGCTTCGATGAAAACTTGAATTTGGAGGTTGAGCAAAAGATGGTCTGCATCCATACTTGTCGGATTTGCTGGCAAAACCTTGTCGAAGCCCGCATTTGCGCCACTGGAAGTGACAGCCGTCTTCGTCCGTGCTGCTTTGGCCCCACTGCCACTAGTCGAAGCACCACTGTTGAGGACGGTAGGGAAATGCTCATTGATCATATCTATCGCCTGGCGTATGTTGCCCGAGATAATGTGATCTTTGATCTGCTTGCGCGCCCTTACCGCCCTCAGATCTTCAGCTGTGAGGTAGGGACTGATATCGACATCCAGCTCGTCTTGCATCTCATCCTCCTCAGATGCGAGTTCAGCATCCTCAAGATCCTCCTCATCGTGCTCTTCAGCTTGCTGTGCTTGTGCAGCTGACCTTATGCGTGGACCTTGGCCATTGCGGCGAGCCGAAGCACCGTTCGAGTACCCATTGCTGTACTCATTTGCTGTGGAGGCAGAGGTATCAAGATGCTCAGAAGACGTAGGAAGGAGATTCTCAACTTCGATCTCCATACTCGAGTCATCGCGCGAGAGCGGAGGTGCTGAGAGAGGATGTGCTTGCCGACCAGCAGCACCGTTGCTGCCACGAAGAGGCGAGTCTGTGCTCGAGCTTACAGATGCGTTGGCCGTTGAATTCGAAGCTGAGGCTGAAGAAGAGGATGCAGCACGAGCAGTGTTGGATGTCGCTCCAGCAGCATCGGAGGAGCCAGGTAGGTTGGTAAACTCGGCACCATAGAGGTCACCGATAATTCCATCTTTGGCGAAAGCTACGGCGGTGTCAGTGTAGCAGTGATGCAAGAGGTAGTTGAGAACAAGCTTGCGGAGGTTGGCGGCTGAGGCGAGGTCGGTGTCGTCTGTAGAGGCTGGAGGTGGATTGGAGGCAGCGGGAACACCACCACCTCGGTCTGTCTTGGATGGCTGCATGGCGAATGATGGCTCCGACAATGAGCCAGGCTGGGTGGTTTAGGCTAATTATGAGCGAAGAAGGCTGAAAGCTTAAGCAGGTTGTGGTTGGATGGGCTGCTTGGGTCCGTCAATCAGAGATGAGAGCGAGGTTGGTGGAACAGAGGAATGCCGGTGATCCAGGGAAGGGAACGCCAATGTCCGCAGAAGTGAGGTTCCGTCAAAGAGATCGAAATGCCGAATCGGATGAAAGTTAGCGATGGTGGAAATAAGTCAAGATGAGCGAGACTATGAGAAGAGAAAAAGAGAGACTAGGTCACGGTGACACAAATGTGATAACAGCGTAAGGCCCAGGTGGAGTTGCAGTGACTGCGAGAGCCTGAGAGAGTGCCTGATTGTCAAGTGCCTGTGCGGAGCGGATGCTTGAGCCAGCAAAGTTGAGGGAGTTGAAGTAGATAAAGCTACACAAAGCCTAGAGACAGCGAGGGTAATGCTTACGGCCGAGTGAAAGGCCTGAACATCTTAGCACGGACCACATGTGTCACAACCTACTCAAGGCAAATGCTTTGTTATGCTCCGCAGTCAATGCGGCTCTCCGCTGTTCTTCTTTTGTATATATAGACTCCAAGCTCTCTCGCTCTCTCTCTCTCCTACCAATCATCATCTACGCAGAAAATCAGATTCCTCAACTGATTAAGAGTCTGAAGCTCAGCAGCTTCTAGCACCTCACCACCAGGATGCCACCAAGAGTAGATAGCGTAGCACTACTCGAACGCACCATGCAGATGATCAGGGAAACTCACACCAACTGGGACGAAGACCAAGTCTTGGAGCATGCCTTCTCGCTAATAAACCTCCAACCCAACACCAACCAAGCAGAGAAGATCCCCAAGTTGGTGCTCAGCATCATCTCGCAAATCGTCAAGCTCAACGAGAACAACTGGGCCATCTGGGAGCCGATGTTCATGGACTGCATCCGCCCAATCAAGAACGCCAAGCAGATCCTCACTGAGGAGATTCCCAGTGGCCATACCGATTATGATGAGGAACTAGACAGCCACTTGCTGGGTCTCATCTTGTCCTCCTGTGACCACGGACCCACCAGCCGTATCAACACCTACACCGTACGGGAGCAAGGTGAGGAGGAGCAGCTCGGCTCTACACTCTACAAGAAGCTCAAAGCCGCTCTCACAATAAACGACGAAGTTAAGCTCTCCGCCATTCACAACCAGGTACACGAAGTCAAGCTAGCCCAGCGCAACATTGCCAACCTTGGTAAGGAGCTCGATCAAATCTGGAATGACGCAGCCAGGCTCGGTAGCCGCATGGACGAAAAGCTCAAGAAGTCTACCCTGTACCGCTGCGTCAAAGACGACTGGCTCTACACCCAGACAGTAGACTCCCTCAAAGCTGCTCAACCTGGTTGCAGCTATGAGTATGCCTATCATGCACTAGCTAAGAAGCACCAAGAAGCCGAGCTCTCAGGTCATATCCGAGCCACGGCCAGAGCTGCGAGCAATAGAAGTTCAACAGGCCAAGCTGGCGAGCATAGGCAGGTTCTTAACCAAGAGGGCTACAATAGGGGCAGGCACGACCCCGCAAACCCTAATGAACCGGCCAAGTGCTATAAGTGTAGGCAACCCGGGCACATTGCCATCAACTGCACCAACAGTCAGGAGCAAACTCCTACTCAGCAGGGATAGGGACTCGGGTGCACCTTTTTCATAAGCAACACTGGCAACCGCAAACAAGACAGTACGTGGATTCTCGACTCTGGAGCTACACATCACATGGTAAATGATGAGGGTAAGCTCATTGCTCCGACGCCGAAGCAAGGATCCGTAGATACTGCTGGACATGAACGGTTGCGAGTACAGGCAATAGGCGATGCAACTTTGCGAGTAAGAGACGTTAAGATACCACTCACTGACGTACTCCATGTTCCAAACCTTAGCAAGAACCTATTGTCCATCCCAGCGCTGACTGAAAATGGTGCACGTGTGATATTTGAAGAGTCTGGAGCTACTATCCTCCAGCATGATGGGAGCATGGTCAAGAGCAAGACCAACCGGCGCAAGAAGAGATGGGAGGTTTACGGTGACTCCCTAGCAGCACAGCTCAATGATCCCCTAGAGGGCATTGATGCTACCACAACACCAGCAAAACCCGCGAGCCACACGACGAGCAAGCTATGGCACGAACGATTTGGTCATCCTGGCAGGAACAAAACCAAGCAAATCCAGGCCCACTACTTAGGAAAAGAAACACAGCTTGGACATGATGCAAGGGATTGCAACTGTTGCAGCCAAGCAAAGCAAACACGCGCAAGAATGACAAGTAGCAAAACAGAGCGAGCCCAGGCACCCTTGGAGCTGGTACACATTGACTTGATGACGGACCTGAAAGGCCATCCCAACTACCACCATGCACTGGTAGTTGTAGATGACTCGTCATCCTATGTATATGTGAAACCACTCCTCAGCAAGACCGAAGCATTCTCCGCCCTAAAGGCATGGATCAAGGCAGCAGAGATAGCAACGGACCACACGCTAAAGTGCATCCGCAGCGACAACGGAACAGAGTGGCCCAGCTTTGGAGCAGAAGAATGGAAACGAGAAGCAGGGTTCAAGTGGCAGAAAACCACACCTTACGTCAGTGCCCAGAATGGGAGAGCAGAGCGCATGATCAGATCCCTTCAAGAAAAGATGCGTGCAATGCTTGTCCAGAGATCAGTACCAAAGGAGCTGTGGCCCTATGCCATCATGGCTGCAGGGCACACACTGAACTTGACACCCTCTACCGAAGCAAATAGGATCCCATATGAGGACTTCCACCGCAAGTCTGCACATGGCTTGGCCAAGCAGCTGCGTGTCTTTGGCTGCCTTGCTTGGGTCCACCTCCCCAAGAAGGATCATACAGGAAAGCACGGCGTAAGAGCAATCCCAGGAATCATGGTCGGCTACGATGACGAGCACAAGGGCTGGAAATTCTTTACCCCCGGCCACACCCCATCTATACGGTGGAGCAACTCAGCCACATTCCATGAAGCCAAAGGTTGGCATGATCGCCCCAGTGTGCAGAGCCCACTGCAGTTCGGCTTCGAGAGCCTCGAAGCAGAAGATACTAGACCCGAGACAGATAGCAACAAGCCCGAATTGGAGGTGGAAGTACTCGACATGGAGGACCCACTTCCCAAAATACACACTGCACTGCCCGCCGACCCTATAGATGACAACAGGTCGGAGCTCGATGTTGAAGAGATAATTGGAGAAGCACACACAGCCACCCTGAACCTCACGCCAACCTTAAAGGAAGCACTCGCCAGCGATGATGCACAACAATGGCAGGAAGCCATACGCAAGGAGCTGGACGGACTTGAGGCAATGGGAACATGGGAGATTGTGGATGTTCCACCAAACACTAGACTTGTCGACTCCAAAATTGTCCTTCGGCTCAAATTGGATGCCGATGGCATACCAGTCCGGCACAAAGCGAGACTCGTCGCACGGGGCTTCACACAGTGGGAGGGTATCGACTTCGAAGAAACCTTTGCACCTGTGGCACCGCTCAGCGCAATAAGAGCCCTGTTATCTTTGGCAGTGGAGCGCAACTGGGAAGTCCATCAGCTTGACATCACAATGGCTTACCTCAACTCCACGCTCAACCATGTGATCTACATGAAACCACCAGAAGGTGCCAAGGTGCCGAAAGGGAAAGCCTACCGAGTCATCAAGGGACTGTATGGCCTTAAACAGTCGGGACGGGAATGGAACATGGAGTTTGATAAGTTCCTGCGACGCTCAAACTTCCACAGGCTCGACTGCGCACCATGCATCTACACTAGAGGAGAAGGAGATAACTTTGCAATAGTGGTCATCTATGTCGACGACACGCTAATTATAGCTCCAACCCTAGAAACAGTAAGGCATATCAAGGAGGAAATAGGCCAAAGATGGCGGATGGAGGATGGTGGCAATGTCTCCCACTTCCTCGGGATCAAAATCACCAGGGATCGAGAAGCGAAAACCATGGACCTCGAGCAAACTAGTTATGTTAAGCAGCTTCTGGATGAACATTTGGACAAGCGCAGAAGGAAGTCTAGTGTACCACTCCAAGACATTCCAGTCCCAGAAACGGCAGCAAGCATAGCAGAACGAAAGGAGTACCCACAGATCGTCGGCAAACTCCTGTGGTTGTCTAATGGAACATGTCCAGACATCAGCCAAGCCGTTGGCGTCCTTGCACGCTATATGACACAACCGTCAAGGGAGCACTACAACGCTGCACAGAAAGTACTCCAATATTTGGACTACACACGAGATATCCGCTTACAATACGGCAGCAACAAGCAACAAGACTTTCTGACAGCACACAGCGATGCAAACTGGGCAAGCGACGCTACAGCACAACGCAAAAGCTCATCTGGTTCAGCAGTGTTCGTATGTGGCAACCTGGTAGCATGGAAATCAGCACTACAGCGCTGCACTGCCTTATCGGCGGTGGAAGCAGAATTTGTAGCTGCGACAGAAGCTGCACGAGAGGTCCTGTTCTTCAAACACCTCTTCAAGGCTGTTGGAATCGATGTTGGTATCCCTACAATCTTTTCAGACAACACTGGTACCATCCAGGTTAGCAAGGACCCCGCGCAACACTGGAAGTTAAAGCACATTGACACCAAATACCACTTCATCAGAGATAACGTGCAAGATGGAAAGGTCAAGATCAAGTACATTAACACTGCAGATAACTTGGCAGACCTCTTTACCAAACCGGTGGGAAAGACTATACTACAGCGCGCGCGACAGGGACTGGGACTAAAAGCCCAGCATGATGCAGTGGCTCGGCAGTCTCCTGCCTTGCCACTGAGGGAGGCAGTTGAGGGAGTTGAAGTAGATAAAGCTACACAAAGCCTAGAGACAGCGAGGGTAATGCTTACGGCCGAGTGAAAGGCCTGAACATCTTAGCACGGACCACATGTGTCACAACCTACTCAAGGCAAATGCTTTGTTATGCTCCGCAGTCAATGCGGCTCTCCGCTGTTCTTCTTTTGTATATATAGACTCCAAGCTCTCTCGCTCTCTCTCTCTCCTACCAATCATCATCTACGCAGAAAATCAGATTCCTCAACTAGCAAGCAACGAGGAACAACACAAATTTCACAGCAAAATTGTCGCAGCTGCAGGCCAGTCAAAAAAAAAAAGAAAAGAAAAAAAGCGATCTACAAGACCTTTTCTTTGAAGATTTGTCGGAAATTCACCAGGGTTTATCCAGAATGCCAACAAGGCAAAGCTCATGAAAGCAAACACTGCTTATTCATGAGCTGACTCAGGCACATGAAATGCATGAAGATTGACTTGGCAACAACTCAGGAGCTCTGCAGGAGAGATGGCTCAGGAGCTCTGCAGGAGAGATGGCTCAGGAGCTCTGCAGGAGAGATGGCTCAGGAGCTCTGAAGGAGAGATGGCTCAGGAGCTCTGCAGGAGAGATGGCTCAGGAGCTCTGCAGGAGAGATGGCTCAGGAGCTCTGCAGGAGAGATGGCTCAGGAGCTCTGCAGAAGACACTCAACTCATCTAAGGCAGCCCAACATTGTCAGAGATGGTGTCAAGGTATAAATATACCTATGTTTTTTCACTTCCTTTTAGTAATATGACAAGCATTGTAGTTGCTACACACACATCTGTACAAAGGGAGCCTGATTGTGGCCCCAACAAAGTGGTGCCTCTATTTTCAACCAATTAAGAGTCTGATGCTCTACTGACTGAGCTAGCCCTCTACCTTATCTTATCAACAACTCTCCCAACTCAATCACAAATAACCATGTGTAACAGGGCCTGCACAGACCCTGGGCACACATGGGAGGTGCAGTGAGCACGAAATGTGAAATTGGTGGAGTCACAGGTTTCTGGCCGATTTCAGCGAAATTGGTCAGAACAAGCCCATCCAACAGATATCACAGGTCACACTGTAAAAAGGGCTCATCAATGCTTTGAGAGTCAAGTGACCTCATAGGATCAAAGGGACAGCCTTAGGAGGCTTTTTGCCATCACTGGTGGCAAGCAGAGACATGTAAGCAGTTGCACTCCTGAAACCAGGTTTGGTGTTTCCAGTTGATATCAGTGAGATCAACCAAGTGAGCTCCTTCTGGTATGTTTTGGTGAAAGGAGCCAGAAGACTGAGTTCTGGTAGGTTTTGACTGACTGCCTTGAACACTCTGTTCAGAGGCTATGCAGCACATCTGTGTCATGGGCCTGGATGCTCAAGAAGCAGGAGGGTCACAGGTTCAACAGGTATTGAAGATCTAGTCGAGATCAGTAGAGAGCATGGTTGTAGTGCAGTCTCCATGGAGACCATGGACTCCTATGGACTCACATGCAAAGGAGGGCCAAGCACAGCCATGAGGAGGACCAAGCTCAAGGAGCAGGCACAGCCACGAAGAGGACCAAGCTCAAGGAGCATGCAGATGGTTACCACTCAGGGGCTCGAGAGACAAGAGCCAAAGGAACTGTCACTGATCAAAGGAGAAGGAGCAGTGTTGAAGGAGTCGACACCAGGTCATGAGGAGGAGGAGCAGTGTCAAAGGAGTCGACACCAGGTCATGAGGAGGAGGAGCAGTGTCGAAGGAGTCGACACCACTCAAGAGGCACAGGGGTGCCAAGCAGGAGAGGCCCCTGAGCAGTACTCGATGAAGAAGGTACTCTCTGGAGAGAGAGCAGGAGCAGCATCGCTGGCGATGCTGTGAAGAGGTATATAACCATGCTTTCTCATCATCATAGGTCGAGTGGATCCTCATCCACTCTACTCACCATACAACTAGTCAATACTTTAGAAACACAAGTACTCATTAGTTACAGTCAGCATAGCAGCAATCTATCAAGGTTGCTCCTCATCGTAGTGTGTGTGTTGTATCACCACTACCTGATGTCCGAAGGCACCCATAGCAGGTTAGCAGTCCGGATATAGATAGAACCGAAGGCAGTAGTCCACTGTGGTCTGGGGATCACTTCAAGCATCAAGTCAACACACTGGACACTTGTGTTGACGCCACCAACCTTATCACCAACACCATCAACCTCATTATCATCGACATCACCAATCTCATCACCAACACCATCAACCTCATCATCATCAACACTCACACCAGACCTTGGTGTCATCATAACATTGATATTGATCGTGCCGAGCTACCCCTGAACGGAGTGTCCACAGAGGTCAGCTGAAACCTACGATAGTATATCCAACGAACGCCACCTGCTGTCACTGCACAACTTGATAGTCACCGATACCGAGACAATAGCTGTCGCACAGTTTGATAGTCACCGAGTATCTCGACAGACCGACCTGGGTTTCAGGCGCGAGACCCCTGACAATCTGTAGAACTTAGATTGGGAATGCTATAAGATACAGCCTTCTGTTACAGCATGAGTGTTTGTAGTGCTGTTGCTTGATGGTATTTGTGGGTATCTGGACTGCAATAAGGTTATTGCCTACAGATGAGAGAAGGTACTGGACCACAGGTGTTATACACTGCCTTCAGTGATTGACTGGACCACAGGTGTTGAACAACACCACCTACAGTGAGAGACTGGACTGCAAGTGTTAGAGAACACTGCCTACAGTTGACATCCAACAGTGATCCAACACATACATTCGAGATGTCTGTCATAGGACCAGGTGCGCAGAAGAAGAAGTACCCTGTGCACAAATTGTGGGATTGGGCAGACAAGTGGGTTTCAACAGAGTTTGCCAAGATCAGAAAAAGAAAGGCCTTACAACCAAACTCATTGAGATCAGCAGAACAGGGGCTGTATGACAGATCTCAACAAAACCTAGCCCAAGGAGCTGTCACAGGGTCGGCGCAGGAAGTGTGTGCAGAATGATCTAAAAGCGAGCATCAGGTGTCAACAATCTGATTGGGATAGCAGTGCATATGATTTATGGATTCAACCAAGAACTGGGTTTTTGAGTAATCTTGCTAGGATCAATCAGAACAAGCCTACCCAGTATGCTTCACCAAAGCATGCACCAATGAAGTACCATTGGTGTAGAATGGGTAGCTCATCATGTTGAAACAACAGGAGGATCAGAGAAGGAGTTTCCCCAGCAGGGAAGAAAAGGGAAGCATGTGGAAAACAATCAAGGAAGGGGACCAAGCTCAGTATCATGCAGATGGTTACCACTCAGGAGGGATGTGCATATCATCACAGAGGGCCAGCCACAGGGGTGACCATGTGATCAGGAAGCATGACAATAAGGTCCAGCATGCAACCAAGGGATTCACAAGATAAGAGGGGGAAGATGGTCACCAGTTAGAGAGGGGGAACTGTGTCAAGAAGACCAGGGATCAACCATAAGAAGAGCAGTGTCGAAGGGATTGACACATATCAACAGGCAACAAGGAGCATGGAGGCAAGAGGGGGTGTTGCTCAAACCAACACCCTGTCCAGGCAGTAGAGTAGTGGCACCAATGGGGTCAGCACACAGTACAGAAGTAGTGTCAGGAGGAGGCAAAAACCCTCCTCAGAAGGAGCAGGAGAGGTGTCACAGGTGACATTGAGCAAACACATAAATACTCCCAATTCACCATAACATAAAAGTGGATCCTCATCCACTCTACTCTTTATCTTACTACTCTTTACTTGACTCATATCATTGCAATAGCATAGCTTTGCAACAACATCTCAAATGTGTGTGTTGTATCACTGTTGGATGTCAACTGTAGGCAGTGTTCCTCAACACCTGCAGTCCAGTTCATCACTGTAGGTAGTGTTGCCTGACATCTGTGGTCCAGTCAGTTATTGTAGGCAGTGTCCAACACCAGCAGTCCAGTAACTCCTGTCCTCTGTAGGTGATAGGCATATTGCAGTCCAGACAACATTAAGAGCATTAGCAACAGTACTACAAACACTCATACTGTATAGGAGAGTGTATTACTCTCTCTCCAGGGATTAACAGAAGTGCTGTGCAACCTCTGAATGGAGTGTTCAAGGTGGTCAGCCAAGACCTACCAGAAAGAAGTCATCTGGTTACTTCCAGTTGAAACATACTGAGTAGATCTTACTCAATTGATCTCACCAAAACCAATTGGAAACACCCAACCTGGTTTCAGGCATGCGACCGCTTACAGGAGCCAATTGTACCAATTGCACAAGATACATGTCATGGGCCTGAGTGCGCAGGAAGCAGGAAGACCCGCTAGTTCATATGAAGGGAGTGCAGGAATCAGGGGATCAGGCAGATCATAGGATTTGTGGCAGAATTCGCCGAGATCTGCAGTAGAATCGGCTCTATGACAGATCTCAGTGAGATCGGTACAAACAAGGATGATATCACGAATTCTGATGAGATCAGTAGTAGGAGAGGTCATATAGTAGATTCTGTGGAGATCAGTGACAAGGATGTTCGTATGATGAATTCACATGTGCAGAGGACCAAGCTCACAGGCGAGGAGGACCAAGCTCTGCCAAGACAGGGACCAAGCTCAGTAAATTGATGCTGGTTACCACTCAGGGGTTCACAAGATAGGAGTCAAGAGAACAGTCACCAGTTAGGAGGAAGGAGAACTGTGTCATGGACACCAGCATATAGTTCATGAGGAAGAAGAGCTGTGTCAAGGAGATCGACATGCAGCTCAAGAGGGACAGGAGTAGGGTTACAGGGACTCCTGCATAGCACTCGATGAAGGAGGTACTCTCTGGAGAGAGAGTTGGAGCAGTGGCGCTGGCAGCACTGCGAAGAGGTATAAAGCCATACCTTCTCATCACTAAGTGGTCGAGTGGATCCTCATCCACTCTACTCACCATACAACTAGTCAATACTTTAGAAACATAAGTACTCATTAGTTTTCAGTCAGCATAAGTTGCAATCAATAGATTGCTCCTCATCGAAGTGCATGTGTTGTATCACCGTTTCCTGATGTCCGAAGGTGGTTCTAGCAAACCAGCAGTC